TAGTATCCCCCTTTTGTTATGAACATAAATGTTCCAGTCTTAGTAATAAATTATATGGTTGCCTTAGTGCTGTCTCTTGCTCCTTCCTGTTCTTGTTTTCCCCATTGGACATTCCAGTAATACTGATATAACTCATGACCAGACATGAGGTGAATCTGGATGTGATCTCTCACTCCAGCAATCAACAGGGCTTATTTGGCCGATCTGGCTGGTTAGGAATCTGTCTTCTTTGCTCTTAAATACTTGCCATGTGCTCTTTCATAAGCTGCAGTCTCAGTCAGAGAAGAAGACCGCTGCTGATTGTTGGGGATGTGTGTGCTACTCAGCTCTCTTCTTTGGCTTTCCTCACAGGCTCTCACAGGTTCTAAAAGTCACCTCTAAGCCAGTTCTATGCTCTGACGTGTTGGTTGGACATGATATACAGAGCCTGGGTGAAATATGTCCAGCAAGCACCCAGTCTATGAAATACACTACTGTGCAGGCTGTGATGGTAAAATGAATGTGTTAATAGGTGAAAGAAGATGATCTGGACATCAAAATTGAACCAGAACAAAGGAAATGTGAACATTTTCAAAATATAGCACCAGCTTATCCACAATGGCCCAAATGTTACCTTTTATCATAGAACAATACGGACAGCTGTAAAACTCAGTCAGGTGAGACTTTCAAACTCAAATTTATGCTTGACGCGTCAGAACTAAATCGGTACTTTTATAGACTGGTTGTGTGAATGCCACACAGTAGAATTGTTTTGGAATCTAGCAACAGGCTTGTGAATGCCTTGTTAAAATGAAGTACACTTCTCTTGCGCAGAACAGATTTCTTAGGAAGCATGCCTATCTCCTTACATGATTTGTTTCAAATGATTTAATAAATTCAGCAACTAAAACAATATCTTAATGGGTGATTCAATTCGAAGCGCCAAAATAAAATTATTGCAAATAAAGAGGCATACACAATTACGCTCATATTCAGAAACTGCTTTGTGATTTTAATGAAGAATCAGAAACAAAATATTACTCTAAATGGCTTAAACAATACATTTCCTTTTTTATATGTTCTCTTTTCCTTCTCATTATCTCTGACCTGTTTCCCCCTCTTCCATGCTGTTACTCACATCTTAACCATACACATTTTACATGTGAATGAGATTATGAATTTATGACTCCAGGAGATAAATGCACACGCATATACTATAAATGGTATTGCACTGTTTTCTTTACACCTTGTAATCTTATACTTATGAAGAATAAATCTTAAAAATAAGGATCTGCCAAATAGGTATTGTAACATATAATAAAATGCATTAAAAGATATAATTGGAATAATAAGATTTGGAGAGTTTCAGCACCAAGTGGTTACTTATAAAATACCAATAGGATAATTCTGGATTCATTGCATAATTTACTGAGTAAACAATCATATTTAGAAAACAAGAAGAAGATCTGCAAAGGCCTGGATGGGAACCATTCTGAGTTGATTATGGTCATAGATAGGCGAAAGCCAAAGACCTTCAGGGTGATTGTAAGCAGTTAATTCTGCTAAAGGATTTCAATGAGAAATTCGGAGTTTACTATTTTAATATTGTCAAATTTTCATCTAGGATTTATAGTCATTCTTTCATGCAGTGAATGTTTAAGCTCTTGCTCTTCTGCCAGGGATGGAGTATGCCTAACGCTGACTACACAGAGTTGAACTTGAAACAATTATAGTTGAATATTCAGTGAAATAAAATGCTGTACATTCCTTTAAATAGTCATGTCCAGGATTACAAACTTGGAATGACCAAGCTATGGCCATGCTTGTCCCTTTATGTTGGCTACTAGAAAGCTCAGAGCCTAATTGACAATCATCACATGGAAATGTATAAGATTTAACAGATGTGTCTTTCACTGACTTCAGTCTTTGGTCCATTTGATTCTTTACTACATTTTCCTTCTGCCTAATGTTTAACTTATTTTAATTTACGTTTTCTTACTGTAGTGTATTAATCTTTGTAAGTCATGTGTTGAGACTTAATCATAACTAAGGAGCCCCCCAAAAGTATGTATGTTTTAAATGCTGTCTCATAGCACTTGTCTTAACTATCTCAAGTTTAATTCCCTCAGAGTGGACATGAAACACTGAGGATTATCTAATAGTGTACCACAGAATCAGCGACTTATACAGAATGGTTAATTTTTTCCCCCGATTTTACAGGTTGTTGTCTTTCTGCTAAAACATCAGAATGTTTTTACATAATCCACACTATCATTGTAGTGTAAAGCAGAGCAAGAAGACAGACCCTTCTCTAAGGTTTTATCTGACACAGATTTGTGCAGAAGCAAATTAGCAATAGGTATAATTTCAGGTGTGGAAATGCAGTTAAAGGCGAGCCTGCCTATTGTAGGCAGTTGCAGAGGGACAGAATCCTCAATAATTAGTTTAAAAAACAGCAAATTTAAGGAAGAACCCATTCTGGTTCGGTCACAGATCAGTGCAGGATAACAATGGGATGCAG